GCCGCTAGAGGGCGATTTTCGATTTTGAGCAATACTGTGAAACTTCCATAACTTTTTTGTTCATAAAAATAATTCATTTCTGTGAAGACTTTCTAAAAGCACTTTTTTAAGTAGAATTCAGTGACGTTTTTAGTTTTTTTTTTTATTTGGCGCGGATTTCGAGATATTGACCAAAATCCGATTTTTTTCAATAGGACACCCTAAATTTTATTAGCTTATTGGAAAGATCTGCTTTTGCTGATTTCAATGATATAAAGTTCAATAGGTTTAGAAAGAAAAAAAAATCAGTTTTTGTCATAAGAAACAATGTGTTAGAAACAGACCTTTTTCAGTTTCCTTACAGAGTAAAGTCTATCTCCAACACATTGTTTCTTATGGCAAAAATCGAAATATTTTTTTTTCTCGAAACCCGTTAGAGATAAACCTATCGAACTTCATATCATGGACCGAACCCTCACTTGGAACAAACAGTTAGAGAAAACATGCTCTCGAGCTACATCAGCCATTTGGTCATGCCGAAGACTTGTTGGCAAAACATGGGGGCTAAAGCCAAAGATGGTATTCTGGATCTACCAAACCATAATAAAACCAATGGTCACATATGCCTCATTGGTGTGGTGGCCCAAAACCCAACAAGTCACCGCTCAGATTAAGCTAAGAAAGGTGCAAAGGCTGATATGTCTAGGAATAACGGGAGCAATGTCAACTTGCCCCACCGCAGCCCTAGAGACGCTACTCAACATGCCCCCACTTCACCTATGTGTCAAAAAGGAGGCAATAACCAGCGCTCACAGGCTATTCCAAATAGACAAGTTCAAGCCTGGCGATCTGAGGGGACATCTGAGAATCCTTGATCTAATAAAACTGGAGAATGCCAGCAAACCAAGTGACCACATGATGGTCAGATTGGACTTAGAGATCCCCTTCGCAGTGGTAATAAACGACCGCGAATCATGGGAGAATAAAGAACTACCACAAGCAGACAATGCATCTCTGTGGTACACAGATGGATCCAAGCTGATGGAAGGAGCTGGACTGGGCATTTCCGGCCCTAACTTCAAGCTCTCCAAGGCATTGGGTAAACATCTTACAATATTTCAAGCCGAACTGCTTGCCATAGATATATGTGCACAAGAGTGTCTTAACCAAAGCCTCAAAAGAAAACACATCTTCATACTATCGGACAGCCAAGCTGCCTTAAAAGCCTTAAGGGCTTTCAAATGCACGTCAAAACTAGTCTGGGAGTGTAAACAGACCCTAAAAACACTAGCGACACATAACCAGGTAACGCTGATGTGGCTGCCTGGTCATCGAGGCATAGAAGGAAACGAAGAAGCAGATGGCCTCGCAAAGGAAGGGGCCTCAACACCATACCACGGACCAGAGCCCTACTGTGGCTTAATGAAAAGCCACATCATGGAAGGAACTCAACAAATGGGAGAAAGACCAACTGTCATCATATTGGAGGCACACACCGGGACTCAGACAGTCAAAAAGGTTTATTACCCTTTCAGCAAAAAGAGCTGAACAGCTCCTAAACATGAGCAGACCAGACATCAGATTGGTGGTGGGACTGCTCACAGGACACAGCCCAGTAAAATGCCATTTAAGGTTAATGGGCAGAGCGGAAGACGATCTCTGCAGATTCTGCTCAGACGCAATAGAAACCGCAGAGCACCTGCTCTGCGAATGTCCAGCCCAATTCTGCAAGAGGCTCAAATTCCTCGAGGGGGCAACACTGTCACCAGAAGAAGTGGGCCAACTGACACCCAGAAAAATAGCTTCCTTCGGCAGAAGTCTACGCTTCCTGGAGACAAATTAAGATGCAGAGTCACGCACAAAATATCTGCAAAGGTAGCAGTGCTGAGCGGCCGCGGCCACGGAAAAGCCGAAACGACTCCCCCGAAATCTACAATCTACAATCATATCATTGAAATCAGCAAAAGCGAAGCTTTCTAATGAGCTATTATAGTCCCCAGTACATCGACCTTAAAAGTTTGTAACTCATGTACACGCCAAACTTCCTGAGCGGCTTCATAACACCAAGTCGGACAACTTTGTTCATATCTGCAACCTGGACGATGGGACATTGTCGCGCTAGCTCTTCGTGAAGTTGTCATTTTGACGTCCCTGAGAACGGTGATACATGTACGTGTAGTTTTAGTTCCAATCGACTGTTTTGTATGTTATATTAACGATATCACATTTGTCGGACAAAAATCTCGTGGCATTGGGGGGTCCGACGCTTCTAACAGCAACATGTTAAGGGCGTCGGACCCCCTCAATGCCACGAGATTTTTGTCCGACAAATGTGATATCGTTATTATAACATAAAAAATAGTCGATAGAATTAAAACCACACGTACATGTATTACCGTTCTCGAAGACGTCAGAATTACAATTACACGAAGAGCTAGCGCAACCATGTCCCATCGCCCAGGTTGCAGATATGAACAAAATTGTCCGACTTGTTGTTATGAAGCCGCTCAGGAAGTTTGGCGTGTACATGAGTTACAAAGTTTTAAGGTCGATGTACTGGGGACTATTATTATATGCGGTGTCCTACTGAAAAAAATCGGATTCTGGTCAATATCTCGAAATCGGAGCCAAATAGAAAAAAACTGAGAACGTCACTGAATAGGGAACTTGACAAAAAATTTAAACATGAAAATATTACTATAAATCATAAGTATACATTAATTAAAACCTATATCAACGAAAAAACAATTTTTTTTTGTCGCAAACGGCCACAATAAGGAATTGAAAATGCGGAAAAATTCAAATTATTTCCAGCGGGAAAAAACGCTCTGGTACTGGTCGTGACGTCATGTAGTTATGATCTGTCAGTGTCTGTCAGCAACCGTCCATCATACCGTGAGTTCGTCTTGAAAGGGCACTTTCCAAAATTCACCGGTTTCTGAACCGGTGCGATACCGGTTTAATTTATTATTATTTATTTAATTAATACCAAACCGTTCCAAAATGTATCAACTTTTTACCCGTTGAACCAGATCGTCCGTTCCAAAATTGACCGGAGTGATCAGTTGTTTGAAACCGGTGAGGCACGGGATTCACCGGGCATTTTTGTCGGTTTTTTCGGTTGGAGATTTTTTGACACTTTTTTTTTGACGTACATCAATTGCTTTGAATGGGCACTATCGGCAGTCGTTCGTTAAATTGTCGCAACACAACCGTCATAACCAAACTTTAACACACCAAAGCGTTCCAAAATGCATCAGAAAAATCTTGTAACCGGACTTATGCCTGTATTACATCTGTGTATTTCTCCGTGTATTTATTCATGTAGTTCAGGGTGACAACATAAAAAATTCAAACGTAACATAAATCAGCTTTATGAAAAACAAATTAATGTTGGCACCCTGAATTACATTAATAAATACACGGAAAAATACACAGATGTAATACGGACATTACACCTAACTTTGACCGCTACCGGTTTATTTAACCGGTCAATTTATCGGTGAAATTTGGAAAGTGCCTAAACACGGAGCGCTCGGAGCATTTTCCGTCTTTTTTCCTTATGATGAGAAGAACAGGGATAAAAGAACAAAATAGCAACTCCGAGGGTTTACTCGAACTCTACATAATAAATACCCGTTAGCTGTGTTTATTTACGTTTTTCTCTGATTTTTTAAAATTTTATCATTATTAGAATAGACCTATCTATTTTTACCTGGTATGCGCGCGCAACACGAGGCAATGTCTTTTTATTGGCTAGCTAATACAGGTGTGAGGTGATCGTTTTGCACGCTGGGCATCTCTTTATCCTTGTTCATTGCACGTGGTCTGACAAGAATAAATCTAAAGTTGATATTCAACTTGACAAGTGTCATTCAAAAGTTGTTTGACATTTTCATTGACAAATACGTTGCACAACACGCGGTTTTTTTCCTTTCCTTTTTATCCTGTGCAAATAAGAAGGACGGATTGCTGTACGTAAGTCTAACATAATTTGGTACGTTTTGCCTCGTCTTGCGCAATGAGCGTTCTGTCTTTTTTTATTTAATGAAGTTTTCGTATTATTACCTCTTTGTCTGGTAAAATAGATAGGTCTATTGGTTTACTTAGTTTAAATTCAATAATTAGCTCAGTATTATATAAATAAAACGATATACCTATTAATTATGACCGAAGAAGGAAATTCCAAAGGCCAATCCGCCAATCTGTAATTTGTGATATGTTTATAATAGCAAAAGTAAGTAAGTGAGAATCTTTTTTTCCATTATAACTTAAAAATTTACAACTCGCCGCAACCCAAAACAACAACAAAACAAATAACGGTGGAAAATGTGGAAATCAACCAAATTAAATACAATTAAGTAAAATATAAAGTTTGACGACAAGGTGACGCAAAATCCAAAATCATACTACGTGACGTCATCCAGATTCGCGCGCATTTAAAGTCGTTTGAAATGCTTTTAATACGCGCGAAACTTTAAAAAAATTTCACCAAGTTATTATTGAGTTTTAGGGAATAATATTTGGGGAATACTCTTTCAAGGCATAAATAAATGATTTAAAAAAATAATAAAAAAATTGTAAAGTTCCCTATTATTATTTTCATAAACAAAAAAGTTATAGAGGCTTGACAGTATTGCTCAAAATCGAGAATCTCCCTCTAGCGACTAAACGGTTGAAGATATCAAAATATGGTTTGCACCAATCAAAATTTCATGAAATTTGAGCCTCAGAGTGGGAGGTCCATTTTTTTCTATCTCTTAAAATACAAGGTGTTTCCATAAGAAAGTTTCCAATTTGGACCACCCTGTACATAATGTATATTTTAGAAGCTTGGTTGATACAGAGTATAGACGCACGTACCTTGGATAATCTTTGGGTCTTTAGACTGGTTCGGTTAATACAAAGCTAAAATAAATGTGATGATAATCGCGGTTCGAATGTATTTACTGAACTGTCAGCTTCCTGAATTGAGGGTTCTTGGACAAAAAATAATTTAAATTAAATGTATATAATATCACCTAAATCTGGCCATTTCCATATCCTCGTGCTTCCTATGGTGAGTTTTTAATTCACTTTCAAATGGAAATCGTTTACCACATACATCACAAGTGTGTTTATTGTGCTTGTTTTCCATATGAACATCCAACTGATCCTAAAAACAACAATTTTATAGGCAAAACAGTTTTTTTTATTAAAGTCCATGTTAATGACTCTGCTAGTTTATGACCTTTGGAATATTTATGTTCTGCGAGTCTGCCCTATAGTCATTTATTTATATACGGGTAAATAGAAAGAAGTCACGGATATCTGTGTGATGTGCAACTTCTTGTATATTAAAAAATAGGGAAGAATTTTTGATACCATTATAAGACAAATTTTTCTTGAAACACCTAGTGCTAGCTTTAGAAATTTTTATTAAATGTACCAAACATAAAACTCCTAAAACACAGTTTTCATCGGTGCGTTGAACTGTAGTGTAGAAACATATTCTAGGGTTGCCCAACTACTGAACTACTGAACCTTGGAAATTTCTCTAATTAAAACTCTAATTACCCTTGTGTCGCACATAAACGAGCATATCTTGCATTTGAACTCCTTGAACTCAGGATGCCTCCGAATATGTCTTCCATAGCCGTATTTAGTTGTGAAAATTTCCCCACAAAATTCACATTGGATTCGTACAGGTTTTGGAGGCTAAAATAAATTAGTTTAAAACAAAAACGAATTATGAGGTTCAATTCTTACTGGTTTTGGTAAAGGTTTACCATCATCATCCACAAAAGTATGCATTATCCTTATATGCCTTTGTAGCATAAATTTGGTGGTATATGCTAAAAGAAAAAAAATATTATATTACACATTAATAATTTTATTTTTTATTATACTTACCATTTCCACAAGAGGAACACAAAAACCTCTTTCCAAAATGCATCTTGAAATGTCGTACCAAGCTTGTTTTATAAGTAAATGTTTTCCCGCATTTGTTACAAGAGTAATTTTTCTCTTTGAGATGACTTAACATGTGTTTATTCTAAGAAAATATATTTAACAAAAAAAAAATCAAACCAACTAACCCAAACTACCTTTTTATAATTTCTTGTAAATTTCTTCCCACAAATCTTACAAGAAAGTGACTTATCATGATCGTACTTGACCATATGATCTTCATACTCTTCTTTTGTCCTAAAAAACAGTCTACAAGGTCTACAAATTTGTGATTTTTCCGAATGGAGTCCCAAATGAAACAATGGTACTTGTTTGGAAAAGTTCCTCAAGCATATTATACAAACCAAATCGTCCGAATGGTCCTTTTCAAAGTGAGATATCACAAAATCAATTTCTCCAAGATGTTGATGGCACAGTTGGCATGTGAAGGCACCATCGTATTGGGTTGATTTAAGTACTTTCTGGGAGAGTTGACATTGATTTGCTGATAATGAAATATCTGGTTCTAGAATTATTATTTTAATTTTAAAATGTAATCGAAATTATGAAAAAAACCTTCTTACTTGTATCACAGTCAGAATCCTCAAGCTTAATTGAAGTCTTCTGATCAACTTTAAAGCACTCATTTAAATGTTCCTTCAATAACTCCTTACTTTTAAAATACTTCCGGCATGGTATACACTTTTTACTCTCCTTCGAATGTAAGCCCATATGATACAACAAACTGTCCCTCTTTTTATATTTTTTGGGCTTTTCGCAAAAAATGCATACATCTATTTCTAGTTCTGGGGCATGAAATTCATCATAATGGTCTATAGATGCATTTATATCCGGCAGAAAGGCCCCACACAACCTACAAACCAGTTCTTTGTGTTGGTTTTCTATGGCTTCAGTGTCTGCGGTTTCAGTTTTAAGAGATTTTCTTGGTCTGCCTCGCTTTTTGGTCGTGATTGTTCCTTTTACTTCCAAGTCATCATCATCATCATCATCCTCATCACCATCATCATCAGATTCTTTCATTTCCTCTAAAGAACCTCTTTTATTATCTTCCTGGGGTTCTTGTTTGGCCGGTTCCCAATCTGAATCATCTTCACAATCATTATTTGCAAATCTATCATCTTCCGATTCGGAAAAATAAGAAGTTTCTTGTGTTGTTGTGGATCTTTTTCTTAAAGGTTGAACTTCACTTTTGAGATCTGATGGTTCATCTTTCGGAATTTCCGTTTTATTGTCGGATAAAATGCAATCCAAGATTACATTAGAATGGCAACATTTGTCAAAGAATGTGTACGATTCGCAGAGGAGTCTTATGCATGGTTTGCATATTTGTTGGGGTTTATCATCATCTTTATTTACCTAAAAAAGAAATTTCAACATTCAGTCAAAACACAATATATTTGGCTTATACAAAATATAGATACAATGCCTATTTTAAGAGTAAGTAACAGGGCTGCAGTTCAAAAGTTCATGTACAAATTTATTTTTCTCATATTATATGCTGCCAATATCAGTTTGAACATAATTCACCCGAAATAATTTGGACTGCACCTTATGTCGTCCTAGCCCTCTCAAGTTTATCAGTGCTAACAGTTCAATATAAACGAACATGTTATTGTGAGGCTCATGGCCGAAACATAATGACAAAATACTCGACAAAATAGTTCCACTATATGTATAGACTCAGATATTTCAGTAATTCCCAAAGCTGAGTCTATAAATTTTCACTGGGAACAAAAAAGCTTCCAGGATTTTTGGCAAAAACGAATCCCGAAAAAAATATGTTTATTAAAATGGCAGGAGGTAGGAATCATAGCTTCAAATCTTCATGTTCCTTGGAATCTTTAATTTTCTAGTTTTCAGTCTTTTGAATCTATAGGGTCTTCCAAGTCTTTAGAATTTTTTGGCTTCACTGTTACCTACATCTTCAAAAAACATTTTTTAGTCTCAACTGACTGATCCTTGAGAATCGTTAGTCATTAAGTTTTTAGCTCGGTCTTTAGTGTTGCACTTCCAAGTCTTTAATAATAATAATAATAATAATAATTTATTAACGATCAAAGACCATTTACAATAACATTCATTTATATTAAACTTAAGTAATTCTTTAGTCTATCTTAAACTTATTGAAAGAGGAGCTAAAAAAATCAACAGTAGGTGGAAGCCTATTTGCTTCCCTGCATATTCTAGATATAGATGAATAAAAACCATAGTTTGTTTCATGAGAGGATAAACCAAAAGTTATATTTTGTCGAGTTTGTCTTGTTGGTAACTTAAAATTGATTAGTTGCAACAATGCCGGCGAAACAATTAAAAAATTTAAAACCCCGAACAATGTGCATAGATCAAAATACAATCTTCTTTTTTCCAGTGACGATATTTCCAGGAGAGCCAATATGTCACTATATTGAAGTTCATCTCTTGGAATATTCAGTCGATGTCCTACATGACGCAGAAACTTTTTTTGGATTCTCTCAATTTCATCGATCCATTTTTTATGATATGGAGACCATACAGGACAAGCCTCGGGACAAGCATATTCAGTGACAGATCTGACCAGTGTTGCCAACCGCTGGGTAATTACTCAATTTTTGGGTATTTTTTTCCTCATAATCCTTATTTGAGTAATAGGGAACTTGCAAGTGAACTAAAATTTTCCAAATTTGTTCTAAATCGATAGTTTATACTGCATAATATTTATATGATCAGTCAATATTTAACTAATACCGCCCTTCTTACACAAAAAAATAATGCTTAATTTGAAATAAAAAATTTCCCGCCAAAACAACGCTTCCATGATGGCTACCTTTTTTGACGTCACGATTTTGTAAACAAACCTGTCAATAGGGAACTTGCAAGTGAAATAAAATTTACCGAAGCAGTCCTCTACAATATTCTTCATCCATTGCGACAATTTTCACGAAAAGCAAACTTTAACACACTTGAATAACACAAAAATAGCACTGCGTCAGCAGGAGTTCTGTTGCTGCGTTTGTTGTTTACAAAATCTTGACGACATGAGCGCTGTCATATTGAAACCTCGCGTTTTCGCGCCAAAGTTTTTAATTTGAATTTCAATTAAAAAAAATTCCTAAAACGTATGGATTAAAATGGACAAAGAGAAAACCATGTAATATCTGATCACTAAAAGTATCTAAAAAAAAATAAATTGAGAACTATGAAAATTCCCTATTGTGTTATGAGTAGCTTAACAAAGACACCACCTGATGATGAGTTAGTCAGTCAACTCATGTTGTAATTTCATGCTTTAAATATACAGTTTTACCTAATTATTTATTGCATTACTTAGTCCGAACCCATATACAACATGGTGTCAGGTGTGATGACTCAAATAGTGCCCTAGTTTGCACATGAAAAAGTGAAAAAGTGCCCTAGTTTGCACAGAAAAAGAGTGCCCTCGATAACACAGAAAAAAGTGAAGCAGTGCCCTAGTTTGCACATGAAAAGACTGCCCTCGATTGCAAAAGCTCCCTTTTCCCTTTGGTTCCCTAGTTTGTACCCCAAAACGTGTTAAGCAGATACATAGAAAGCCAACCTCCTCGTGAAAACGCTTGTTAGTAAATAAAAATGAGCTTCACTACAAAACCACCAGGCCCCCTCACTGAAAACAATTTTAAGTGTTGGAAACTCTATAAACAGAAGTTTGAAATTTTTTTGAAAGCCTCTGGAAAAAATAATGAACCAGAAGATATTAAAATTGCTATTTTGCTAAGTGATATTGGGGATTATGGTCTGGATTTATTTAATACGTTCACAACTGACCAGCAAAGCACTCTTAATAAACTATTGGAGGCCTATGATGCTCACTTTCAGCCAAAATGTTGCATCCCCATGGAAGCATTTAGGTTCAATAACTTGCATCAAAAAGAGGATCAAACCATTGAAAGTTTTGTAACTGAGCTGAGAAATCTGGCAAAAAGTTGCGATTTTCTATGCAAGAATCAAAATTGCAACGAACCTTACTCAGAACGAATGGTGAGAGACAGATTGGTTGTTGGCCTATGTGATAAACAATTACAAGCCAGATTGATCCGGGAGCCAGACCTAAACACTGAAAAATCCTGGACTATTGCAAGTCACTGGCTCTTAGCAAGGAACACCTAAAAACGCTTAGCCCTGAGGAAGAAGTTAATTTAATCCAAAAAAATTATAGAAAAATTAAATGCGCTAAATGTCTCTATGAACATTTTCCAAACCAATGTCCAGCATTTCGTAAGACCTGTGCTGCATGCCAGGAAATTGGCCATTTTGCAAAAGCATGCAAAGCTTTGAAAGGTGAAGAAGATCCTCACAATTTTGTTGAAAAAAGTGGTTATACAATGAAGAAAAAGCTCGAGAAAAAGGTACGAGAAGTCAAATATGAAGAAGCATCTGACTCTGATGGCGAGGATTTCCAAGATGACGTGTTAATTATAAATGAATGCTGTACTAAAAATGGAAAACGAGAATGGTCTGAGGTATTTTGTGTCGAAGATACAGAGGTAAAATTTAAACTTGACACAGGAGCGGACTTTTTTTTTTTTTTACGGATATGCGCACTCGCAAGGAAATGTCCTATCACGCTCGAGAAGCGGCAAGTGCAGTATTTTACCCATTAACACCTATTTAAGAATCTCTTGTTCTGAACCAATGACACAGACAAATGTTACCCTATTGTCTTACGGTAATTTTAGGTTAAAACCTGTAGGTCTTATTACTTTAAAATGTTACTACAAGAATATGTGTCATGATGTTAAGTTTGTAATAGTAGATTCTAATACTCAACCTCTTCTTGGTCTCGAAGATTGTCTCAAGTTTGGGTTATTTTCCCGAATTAATAGAGTTGGAATTTTACCAAAAACCAGAGAGCAAATTTATCAGTCATTTCAGAAAGTTTTTGAAGGTACAGGAAAAATTCCTGGGCTCTGCTCTATTAAGCTGACAGAAAATGCAAAACCTGTTATACAAGCCCAGCGTAAAATACCATTGTTATTGCACAAAAAATTAAAAGAAACTTTAGATACTCTTCAAAGCAAGAATATAATTCAAAAAGTTGAATATCCGACCCAATGGGTAAATAGTCTTCTATTAGTTGAAAAGCCAGATAAATCTTTAAGGTTGTGCATTGATCCGAAACCATTAAACAAATTTATTTGTAGGGAACATTTTGTTATACCGACAACTAACGATATTATTTGCAGGTTGACAGGCAAATCAGTCTTTAGTGTTATTGACATGAAAGATGGATTTTGGCAGTTGCAACTGGATGGTAAAAGTGCAGATCTTTGCGTTTTTAACACGCCTTTTGGAAGGTATCGCTTTAACAGGGTCCCTTTTGGAATTTCAAGTGCTCCAGAAATATTCCAACGTAAAAATTTTGAAATCTTTGGTGATATTCCTGGAGTAGAAATATATTTTGATGACCTTATTATTTCAGGGGTTGATGAGGCAAGTCATGATAAAACCATTAAAGAGGTTCTTCATAGAGCACTCAAAAATAATGTAAAGTTCAATTTTAAAAAATTTCAGTATAAACTGGACAAGGTTAAGTTTTTGGGACAAGAAATTTCAAAGGACAGTGTGAAGCCAGATATTTCAAACATTAAAGCTATTGAAGCCATCGATTCACCTATAAATAAATCGGAAGTTTTGAGAATTTTAGGGCTTTTAAAATTTTTTGCTAGGTTTATACCCAATCTTTCCCAACTAACTACAAATATGCGCAATTTGACAAAAAATAACGTGGCATTTGAATGGACAGAGGCACATGAAAAAGAACTTCAAAATCTAAAATATATCGTATCCCAAGAACCGGTTCTCAAAATTTTTGATCCAAATATTCCAATACGTGTTCAATGTGATGCGTCCAGTGAAGCATTTGGTTGTTGTTTACTTCAAAATGATCACCCAATTGTTTACGCTTCGAGATGCCTTACCAAATCTGAAAGAAAATGGGCTCAAATAGAAAAAGAACTGGGGTCAATTGTGTTTGCTTGTGAAAAGCTGCATTATTTTATCTATGGATTTCAAATCGAAATTCAGACAGATCACAAGCCCCTAATTTCAATCTACAATAAGGATATAGAGAAAGTATCTGCGAGACTCCAACGAATGCTGTTGAAATTGCTCAAGTATAATATAAAAATTACATATTTACCTGGCAGAGATATGGTTATCGCAGACACTTTGTCTAGGGCATATATTAAAGATGACGTACAAGATGACCCTGAAATGGCTTATATTGTGCACACTTTGTCCAATGACATTTCTATGTCCGAAGAAAAAAAGCATACCTTCAGAAAGAAAATCGAGTTAGATCCTATCTTATCAAAAGTGAAGCAATATTGTCAAACTTTTTG